TATATTAATTTAATTAATTTACAATATGTTTTATGTTTGTAGAATATCTAACTGGATGAAAAAATTGGGAATGGGAAAAGGAAAGGGTCCCGGCATTCGTCCTCCTGCAAATCCGGTGGAGGAGAGTACTGCGGAACGGGAGGGCAGAACGCACAACCGTAATGTTACCAGTTCTAAACGTCGTGGGGAACGGACTGGTGCTTTTGTACAACCACGTATGACAATTGAGGAGGAGGAGGAGACAGAGGCAGAGCCCGAGCAGGAGATGGATACATATATGGATCCCCACGAGGACGAGTACGATCCAAGACTACATTTTCAGCAGATTATCAGTTCCCGGTGCCTGATTTGCCATCCGATGATGATGACGAGGACGGTTTGACTTCGCCTCCGCCTCCGGCTTATACAATGGCTGGTACTTCCGGTGGTTCTACTCCTGCCCCAAACCCGAAGTCCCGGCCCGGTCCGAAAAAAACTCTTCCTACTCGACCGTGGAAGTTGATTGGTGAGACACCCGATGGACCAAAATACCCTCATTTGATTCCGAGTTTTGGAGCCCATATTGCCTACGACATCTGGGAGGGAAAGGTAATACTTATTAATTTTATTAATTTTTGTTTAAAATGTTTATAGTTGATTTTCCTATTCTTAAATATCAATATATCTTCAATAGGGCCGACATATGCTGAAGTTGCGGTCTCATGCGAAGTCTACTTGGCCGGGCCCCGACGACTATTATAGTGTTTCACTACTGGAGAGTACCGGGTTGTATCACTTGCGTTATTGTTCGCTCCCTCAGCACAATAACCCGTTGATAAAGGCTTTTATCGAGAGGTGGCAGCCAGACACCAACAGCTTTCATATGCCGTTTAGAGAGATGACAATTACTCTCCACGATGTGCACTATATATCATGTATTTGCGAGTTAGTGGAAAGCGCCCTAACGTTTGAATTGATAAGGCAGATGCGATTTATGCAGGTGCGAGAGCGTTCGGTGTCGAGCCCCGAGATATGGAGAAGTGGTATGGCAGCGGATCCCGGTTAGATGATTTGGATAGGATGTATGGCGACGATTCTTCATTTGGGGAAAAGTCTCTCCAACCTTTGCCACACCCATGTATAATGGTCTTCATTTTCATGGCGCATAAATACCACTCCAACAGTAAAAAAATTTCCGACAGGAGTAACACCAACAATCTCCAACAAAGGCAATTTGTACTGATTGGTTTTGTAAGTACTGTCAAGTAGTATAACGTACGGAAACTTACTTAACAATTCGACAGATAGAGTGTGAGCCCACATCAAATCAATAACTGCATGTGTCGTTTCATCTGTACGGAACCACTTGTAATAGTTATGCTCCTCAAGCAACCCAATCAGATGTTGCATCACTGTACGGTCACCCCTAGCTAATCTTCTCAATTTCGCCTTTTCATTGTATATTTGTTTCGAATAAGCATCGAGACCCAAGCCATTTTGTCTCAAGTTAGCCAAAATCTTCTTGGGCGGCACATGACTTTGTGAAAGATCCTTGATATTCTTCGACTCCGCTTCATTCAATGCACTAAGCCCATGCCCAGACATGTATATCGGAATATGATTATGCTTCACATATACTATTCTGAGCCCCCATCTATCGTCCAACCGCCGCTCTCCGACAATTTGAAAACCACATTTTATTTTTTTGCTACCAGACCTTTTCGAGGCCGCCTCTACGTTACTTTCTCGGGGCCCTCCGAACATGTCACAAGTCAGACACACTTTCTTTAATTTGGGGGCACTTTTTTTAATTAATTTCACGAAAAGAGCTCTTGCAACGGACCTAGCCCAAGCCACTAACTCGTCCCCCGAGTCAAACAATTGAGTTGTTGTAAAATAATCGGTATGATCAACTTCAACTCTAGACGTATTGTCCTGAAAAAAAAGTTAAAAATTTATTTTTAAAAAAAAAAAAAAACAAAAAAAAACATTTGAACCGGACGCCCAACTCGGGCGCCCAAATAAGCTGTACACGCCCAAGTTGGCGTTTGGACAATTTTTCGAGTTTTTTCGATCGAGAAGACGAATTTTTTACCTCGTTAGATTCGCTATCACGATCTTCATCCGATGAGCTCATTTGTGTTCGTATATCACACCAACAAGAATGATTTTTAAGCAAATTCTCTTCAAAAGCTTCTTATTCTAGAGAGATAGAATATTTTAATAATAAACCGCAAATAGCAATTTTGCAACCGCGAAAAGCAAATCCCTTTAAAAATAATAAACTATAAAATAAATATTCATATTGTTTTCATAATTGGCCTAAATTGAATATTTCAGCCCACTCGGTGCTACTACGAACGGGCTTAATCGGCCCATAAAGAAGAAGATGAAGAATACGGGCCTGTATAATGGCCCAACTTCTTTTCTTCTTCCCACCATAAATAAAATCAATTAATTATTTTCGTCGTTTCTTCGTAGAAGACAAGATTGTGGAGATTGATTTGGCAGTGAGCAAATTATGTTACAACATGTGATTTCTTTCCAAACGATATCGTAACTGGCAGAGTTATATCACCATGACGAAGGAAGAAATTCGTCTCGATAAATAGCCTCTCAATCTCAGCGCGCTACGACGATGGCCATTCTATTTGTGCGTGAACGAAGAAAGAAACAAGACATCAAACCTTTAAAATAGGGTACTGTACTTTCGATATATAACTTGAGAAGGATATTGTCGAACGATAATGTCGAGTTTTCCTCTCCTCTTTCTTCTTTCTTGATCTTCCGGTCTTACAAAATAAACGGAGCAAATAAGTTTGTAAGAACACGTTTTTCGGAAAATGTTTGGGATAAATAAATAAATGCATGTGTTTTGAGGTTAAAAACACGTTTTTTTAGAGTAATAGCGTTTTTATGTGGAAATAAAAGTTTTTGATATAAAGTGAGGGGCATTCCAGACATTTGCAAGCATGTATGGAGCTAATTGTAAGCGAAATTTAAAAGAGGAGAGTGCAATGTCCAACGTACAGTACTAGAGACTATCTAGTATATGAAACTAGCCGAAAGGAATTTACGAGCTAAAACACCGCATTTTGATTTTAGGACTTTTTATATAATAAAATTTTATTCAAGTGTATTTGGATACAAATTCATCCAAGTACAATTTTTTGGTATTTCAAGTATATATATAAAGTAAGAAACAATCTATGAATCAAATCAACAGCCAAAAAGCTAAATCGGATTAACCGTTAAATTCCGCCCCCTCTCTCTTTCTCTCTCCTCTCTCTCTCTTCATTCCCTTACTTTTCTCTACTTCGGTAATTTTCCATTACTAAGATTAGGAGATCACTCAGAAAATCTAAAAAAAAAACAATTACCCAAAGGGAAAAAAAAACCCAAATTTCTGGAATTGGATGGTGGTCACCTGCAATGCTGAGTATCCGATGTAATTACATGCCCTAACCCTGATTCCCTCCCCCATTGAAGAAACCCTTTCTCCCCCAATTTTTTGAAGGATTCAACTATTTGGGGCCAAACCCTTTTGTTTTGGACCCTTTTCGTTGATTCTTCGATAATTAACATTTGTACAATTTCCTTTTCAATTCCGTCCCTAATTTCAAAATCCTAGGAATTTTTTATTTTTTTTTACCTGTCGAAGATTTCATTTTTTTTAAAGAATAGGAATTTGAAATGAAACCAGATGCTGCGACGACGGCGTAAAGGATCAGTTTCTATTCGGAAAAGAAAAACAATTAATTGGCCGGAATCAATTGTATGGGTTCGCCATTGTTGGCTCTGGTCATCTCCCTTTTCGTTGGTGGTGGTTTTTTCGCCGTCGTCGTTGAGTCTCAACAAAATGTGAGTCCTCCGCCGCCGCCAGAGTTTTCACCTCCTCCACCGCCGGAGTTTTCACCACCTCCACCTATTACTCCACCACCTCCGTCTTCTGCCCTGCCACCACCGCCATTTTCACCGCCACCTTCTTCTCCACCACCACCGCCTTCTTCTCCACCACCACCGCCACCTCCATTCTCTCATCCTCCACCGCCTCCGCCACCTCAGCTCTCCCCTTTCCACCATCCACCACCACCTCCGAGGAAAAACCTCCGCCCGGAGCATCCAGAGAATAATAGCAACGATAATTCTCGTAAAAACCCGGGCCCACCACCGCCCCTCAAACAGAACCTTAACGCGGGGAAGAAAATCGGGCTGATGTTCATCGTACTTGCTGCGATATTGCAAGTCTGCGTTGTCGCATTCTTGGTCGTGCGGAGAAGGCAAATCTTGAGAGCTGAGAATGGCTATTAGAAAAAAAACAGAGCAACATTTTTCGTTATTCGATTTTTATATACTTATTATTTTATTTTTTTTAATTTTCTTTTTGGTGGAGCATCTGCATACTATGCTGACCGGATTAAGATTGGGGGGGCGAGGCTTCAACGGAAAACGAGGATTTACTGAAATGTACAGCACTTGTAAATTGGTTAGTTTTTATCGGCGTTCTTTTATCTCGAGTTGTTATTCGTTTATTCGTTTACTTTTATGTTACGACTAATGCGATTCACTTGGAAGTCGAAGCTAATGAATAATGACATTACTCAATGTCGTCAAATTATCGTATCCGACGAACCCTTGAGAGTTCAACTTTGAAACTTCTTCAACGACTTTTGATACAATTTAATTTTTGTAGGTGACGGAAGAGGAATAACTTATAGACAAAACATTTTCACGTTTGTCGATTTTTTTTAAGGGGAATGACTTGCATATATTCCGGCTGATGGGGCAAAATATACAGCTGAATTCTTGAAGGGGAAATGTACTATAGCAGTACTGAGTTTATTGATATTAGAGTCACGACGTTTTAATCACCGAAAGTGTATAATTTGAATTTGTTTCGACTATTTTCCAAGGCGAATTATGTATTTATTAATAAATAGAGTTACTATGATCTGATTACAGTTAACTTTTGTGTATGTATAGTTTGAATTTGGCTAAAGAACATTGGGAGAAGATTCACTCTGGTTTCTGATTATGCTGATGAACATTATCAAAGTATTTGTGACTAAATATTATAGACAAGTATTTATATATGCCATTAATTAATTAACTCGGTTTTATTTGATGTTTGGTTACTTCAATAACTTTTTCGGATCGGTTCGATTCTTTTGGTCGATCGAATTTTCTTTTTCCAACTCGTATCTTGGTTTCATAGTTCATTGAATACTCCCTCCGTTCCCTTTTTTTTAAGCTTTGCACAAGGATTAAGGATTAATTAAACCTGTCTTGATTTGAGGAAAATGTATGGTTTTAGACTAAAATGACATTGTCTTCTAATTAATAAGAGCGATAAATGAATTACAGAAAAAGTGATGGAAATAATTAATAAGGATATAAACTGGAAATTAAGTAATTAATAGAGTATTTTAAATTTAAAGTGACAAGATATTATGAGTTGAATGGAGTAAAACTATGAGTTAAATAGACTATTGAGGTGGTCAACTTTTTCTTTTTTATCAAATGGTTTAGCTTTTCATTTTCATCCTACAATAAAAAAAGGGTGTGCAGTTAAAAACCTAATAATTATAGTATTAAGTTGTTTGCAAGTCAATTACATCCTCAAAAACCAACAAAAAAATCTTAATCAATCTATGGCACTAATTAAATACAATTATTAAAGGGATGTGATAAATGTCGTTTGAGCTTTAATAATACCGTTATAACTTCAAACGTGAGTTTGATCATTTTTAATTCCAAATTTTGCAAAACCCAAAAAATAGAATTTGTAGTATTCTGAGTTAGTTTTCTAATCCAACTTGAATCACCAAAATTGGATGTCGGACGAGAAAAATATACATGAATCAATGGATATTGCCCACAACTTTGATAAATTGAGGTATCTAAAATTCAAAATGTGATTCATTCATGCATAACTTTACACGACATCCAATCTAACGAATTTAAGTTGGATTAGAAAGCTAACCCAAAGGACTACAGTTTTCGTGTTTTAAATTTTGCCAAAATCAAAATAGAAATATATCAAAATCAGGTTCGAAGTCAAAACGATATTAGTAAAATTGAATCTACATTTAACATTTCAGTTATTAAAACATCATCCTCTTAATTTAGACCCAAGTAGTCTCTCAATCAAGAATTTTGCCGTCTCTTGAAAAATTCAAATTCCTTTTCTTTTTTGTCCCAACAACTATGACGTAGATCCGAATATAAATTAATTAAAATACACTTTAATTAATTAACACTAATGACTTTTAAAATAACCTTAATAGAAACATCATAACTTCCAAAATAACAGCACACCCAAATTTTAGTATATGCCTTAGATTGTCTCTTTCCTAACAACATGCATTTTTCTAACACTTTGAAACAACACAAACAGAAAGAAGTCCACACCATTGTTGTTATTATGCCTTTTCTTCAGATCAAATGTAACAATAAATTACCACCACTCTCTCTCTCATCATCTTCTCTTCCCTCTTTTTCCTCTCCCCCAAAAAAAAAAATCGAAATTCAATCTTGATAATTACGCAGTATGGAAGAACCGGAGCCAAACACGCCTTCCGATCACATCTTGGGGTGGATTGGAGAGTCGATTTCGTATTTTCCGACTTTTTTCGATGATCCCTATGATACTGGTGATTTCAGTGGCGATTCATGGTGGGTCCAACCTCAGGATCTTGATCAAGAACTCATTGGTAGCAGCTCCAACTCTTTCAACGCTGCCATGCCCACCACCACTGCCGCCGCCCCAACTCCGACGGAGTCAATAGTTTCCGACCAATCATCAATTCCATTAGATTCAACGAAGAAGAGAAAATTACTTGATAATTCAAGCCCAAAAGTGTCCCGTAAGAACACCAACCGTCTGGAAGATTCCACCGCCGGCGTTGCAGAACCGCCAGCCAGAAGACCGGTGGCGAACAGAAGGGTGAACAACAGGTCGGCCGGAAACAGTAGCAACGGCAATAACAAAGAAGGGCGGTGGGCGGAGCAGCTGCTCAGTCCGTGTGCCGCCGCCATCACCGCCAGGAATCCGTCACGCGTCCAGCATTTTTTGTACGTGCTTCACGACCTCGCGTCCCTCAACGGCGACGCCAACCACCGTCTGGCCTTTCACGGCCTCCGTGCCCTGACCCACCACCTTTCCTCCAGCAGCGGTGGCAGCGGCTTCTCCACCTCCAACACCTTCGCCGCCAGCAATCCGAAATTCTTTAGAGATTCATTAATCAGATTCAACGACATAAACCCGTGGTTCAGAATCCCAAACAATGTAGCAAACAGTTCAATCCTACAAATCCTCGCCGAACAAAAACACCCAACCAATACTCTCCACATACTCGACATCGGAGTCTCGCACGGGCTTCAATGGCCTACCCTTCTCGAAGAACTAACTCGCCGCACAGGCGGTCCGCCGCCTCTAGTCCGTCTCACCACCGTGGATCCACCCACCGGAAACAGAAACTCCACCGCCGCCCCATTCGCACACGGCCCACAAGACTACGATTTCTCCTCCAAACTCCTCGGGTACGCAAAGGACATAAACATCAACCTGCAAATCGACAGAATAGAGAATTTCCATCTGCAGAATCTAAATCCCCAAACGATCAAATCCTCCTCAGAAGAAGAAACCCTAATCATCTGCGCGCAATTCAGGCTACACAATCTGAACCACACCAACCCAGATGAGAGAACCGAGTTTCTGAAACTGCTAAGAGGCTTAAACCCTAAAGGACTAATCCTAAGCGAAAACAACGCAGATTGCAGCTGCAATAACTGCGGCGATTTCGCGACGGGGTTTTCGAGGAGGGTGGAGAATCTATGGAGATTCTTCGATTCGACGAGCATTGCGTACAAAGGGCGGGAGAGCGAGGAGAGAAAAATGATGGAGGCGGAAGCGGCGAAGATGCTGGTAAGTGTGGGAGAGATGAGTGAGAAGAAGGAGAAATGGAGTGAGAGAATGAAATCAGCTGGATTTAGAAGGGAGATTTTTGGGGAAGAAACTGTTGATGGAGCTAAAGCTTTGCTGAGAAAGTACGACAGTAATTGGGAAATTAGGGTTGATGAGAAAGATGGATGTGTTGGATTGTTTTGGAAAGGTGAAACGGTGTCGTTTTGCTCGCTGTGGAAGGTTATAGATTTTGGGGTTGAGGATTGTTTGGTTTAAGTTTGGTTTTGTTATTTATGAGTGTGAGTATGATTGTGTGTTGTAGTGTTATTAGAGTGACTAATTATGAGTTTTTCTTGTTGATTTGTGATTTTTATCCAGATATTATTCCTCATCCAAACAACACCTACGAATATATAGTGAACAACACCACATAAAGAAATTGGTGCAAGATAAATCTGGCAATACAAGTGCAAATGATGGTTTCCTATTATCCTATATATATATATATATCAAGCATAGCGCGTTTTTCACAAATTTTGTACCTCCGAATATTTTTTTCCGATTTTTTTTAAAAATACGAAAAGAGAATCTAGTTAGTAGACTTATATACTGCTGCATTTCCCCGTTAAGAATTCCAATGTTTTCTCCAGCAAAACCAAGAAATAGACAGGCACCCGTTAATGTCAGATAAATCTCTCTCAAGAGTCGTAGATTCTTACCGAGTTTCTGATTGGCTGTCTGCAAACGGGGCATTTTGGTGAAACTTCGCGCTCGACTGAGAAGGCACAGCGATGACAACAAACAAGATGCCCACACGGTACAAAGGCAGAACGGCGCCTTCTCATTAGACAAACGACACATAGCTCACCGTCGGGCACATCTCCAGACTCTTCCTCTTCTGTCTCGTCGAGATTTTCGATCCTGGACGCATTCTGCTGCTGCTGAGCTCGCCTGGCTTTCCACTCTTTCCATTTACTCCAATTCCTTCACAATGTCATAACCAAAAAACATGATTATGGAATATCTAATGAGTCACTTGCAGAGTATGTTGTACGTTCAAACAGAAAGAAATCTTCTTAGCAAAAAATGCGAGATGTATTTGCTAATTAGTTTTGAGTTTTGGGAGATAAAACTTATATAAGATATGCAAACTCAGATCAGTTCTGATTGGCTGTCTGCAAACGGGGCAAAATAATGCGCATTGGCTAAATTTAATCAAGTGGCAAGGTCTATTAGGAATATATATGTGGAATATAAGGCATGACTTCCCAACAATACTATGAACACATTTAAAGAATCTGAAATTTTCATCCAGAGAGGCAAATAACAGATAGAGCAGAGCTCCTTCGCAGTTTTTCTCTTGGGAAGAATAGAATGCTTTTATCTATCTACTATCTGTGTGTGTGTGTGTGTGTGTGTGTGTGTGTGAGAAACACTTAGAAATTGAGAAGTTTTTACCTGACCAAGCAAATTGAATTCCAGAAACAAATTATTACATTTGGACTAATAAAATAAGGCATAAGCAATGCAAAATATGATTAGTAGTGTTTTAATGTTTGTTGAGGACAAGCAATTCTTTAAGGAAAGTATAATTAGTAAACAAAAATATTATTCTCAAGCCTGAAATTCTTCCTAGGATAACATAAAACCGAAAACTGAGTTAGACGCATGGTTGGGGTGATTTACCTTGAAATTGAATAGCCAAGGACACCTATGGCAACTGTACCCAAAATAAGGCCACTCCACAGTAACACTTTCGATTTGAAGGAAAGATCTGCGATCATTTGATCCTTCGTCAAAATAGACCTACAAACACAGCCCCGAACGGTCAACTTTGTAGAAATCTCACTTGTTCAAAAATAAAGAGAGATATCAATGTAGAATTACTTCAACCATAACCTATAACTGCTAGTTTTGCCTGGTAAAATTTTCTCCTGAATAAAGAACTGATTTCCATTCGAGCATGAATAAGTAAGCAAGCATTCTCATAGATACCAGGCTATGAATTAAATAGACAATGAGCACAATATGAAGTGAGGTTTCTTTATTGCAGACACAGAATGAGACAATTTAAAAAAGTTATGAAGAAATCATATGCAACAATATGAAGTTACACATTCCCTTACGTAAAATACTAGTTTCAGTACCTAAATGACCTGTTGCAGACAATGCAAATGAACCATTCGATATATGGGGATATAAAAAATGATACAAATAGACGTGGCGGAAATATTTTCCCCATTCTTCAGAATTCAGATAACAATAACCCAGAATGAGTATCCAAAAATAAAAATAAAATATTGATTGAGATATATCCATAGGTATTTCCCATCCTTCACAACTCAAATATGGATAACCCATTATGAAACTGATATTGGGTGCGACTGCATATATAGGTTAATTTCATAAAATATTAGGCAACAAGCAAAGACATTTTGGACAAATGCATATTCCTTCTTAATTAAAAAACAATCCCATCTCCACAAGAAACACCATGGACATTCCTCCACCGAAGGCTTAGATCCTTTGTAAAACATATTTATCCAATTTCACACTGAAAGGCAGACTTTTCAATCAAACAAAACCAAGAACAAAGGGCTTCAGAGAGAAAAATCTTTAAAATATTCGAAGAACTCGACCATATTTTAGTAAGGGAAATATAACCTTGCAGTCCAACAGAGTAACAAATAAATGTTCTAAACAGAAATTCACATACAAAAAGTAAGGAAGATCTTCGCATGATTTTATCTCAGGAATCCCGTTTTTCAGATTGCAAATACCAACAGCAGTTATATCCTTTCCAAGAGGCAATATTTTCTCCTCATAAAGCAGTCCAACCTGAAAGAACAAATTAAATGTAAGTACGGGAAAATTAAAAAAATATATATATATAGAAACAACTTTTATCACAAAGAGGGTTATGTAATCAGATTATACTAACAGGATACTCAAGACCGACAAGCGCCTGAAAAACAGTGTAACTAGAAGCCTTAACAGGCTGCAGGTGCTGATAAACAGTTGTGAGAGGTAGCGGATGTGTTGATCCTTCCATGTTGACAACAACATGATCAGATGGAGGCCATTTTCCCTCTTCAACAAGAATAAAAGGAACCTGAGGAGAAAAATCCAACTCATACATTATTGAAGGCCAACCTCAACTTTATTGGTCCTGAACTGCTTAGGAAATGATGTTAACAAAGAGATGGTTGATTCATTCCATGTTAGATTCTATGTTAAAAGGCATACAAGGATAGACATTCACTCAACTTTAAAAGGAAGAGGTCGGAATATAATAAGCCAATCATCATAATCCCCCTCCGCATTTGTCGTGTTTCAACGCAAATCATTTTTTCAAATAATTGCAAAATGACTAATCTGATCCATCAGAATCTCTCTCAGAGAAAAAAGAGAGAGAGAGAGAGAGAGAGAGAGAGAGAGAGAGAGAGAGAGAGAGAGAGAGAACCTCAAAATGGAATGAGCATCTCATGATGTTTTGCATATAGCATACTAAGGCATAAAGATCGACACGTTTAGAAAGTAAATCACGTTTCAAAAAACGATTATAGGACCGTGGTGGGACAAGCAAAAGCAGCAAAGGAAACAGAAGATATCCAGTAAATTACTAAGACAGTTGTATAAAAAATAACATTGTAGTATAACAGTTCTAACCAAATAAAAGCACACATTAGACGCAACAAGAAAAGAAAGTGAAAAATCACAAACAAAAACAAACAGGACCAAGTAAGATTTCAAATTGACTCCGTGTCAGAAAGTTCTGCTCTCTGGCATCAGCTATCAAGGTCTTTTAGTACATTTTTAACAGCAAAAAATAGATTATATACTCGTGCAATCTCGCTCGAGATAATATGACCTCTCCAGCATTTGCTATGAATCAGAAGAATTCTGCCATTACTAACAATATCACATGTGTTCATGTCCCGAAATTACAACAACTTACCATATTCATTGAGGACGACGCATTCTCTTTAGTGATTCTTCTAGGCATAAGCATAGAGCCTAAATCAGCGGTCCATCTGAAGAGTCCTCTCCACTCATTGTATATACACTTCAAGGACAAAAGAAAAGAACAAAAAATAACTGAATAACGAAATCAATTCTAATCCCGAAAAAGGAGTTGAATAAAGAATCATTAACCAATGCTTGAGAATACAAGTAAAGATGATATGCTGCAGTAAAAAGTTCATCACGTGGCTGCTGATGAAGATACCTCATCTTTGCGCTGTCAGTGAAGAATATAACGAGACTCACAAGTGACAAGTCACAAACTAAACGTAAACACCGGTTCATTTAGTAACTACTTATAATATGCTGTGAGTAGCGAATCGGGGATTCTTCGAACTAAAATGCAGGACAGTCTAGAATTCTCACTGGTGTGATGACTGATGCATGACAAGTTTATGAGTATCCAAGTTGGAATTTCTAATGTGCAAAACATCTCCCCAAAATCCAGACTATATGAAATTCCATGTTATGCTTTGGCTACTTGACACTAATTATTGAGAATTATGAGAGGAAGTGGCGGAATCGAATTGGGGATGACGAAAATAGGGTTCAGGGAACAGAAATTGAAAACATACAGTTTGAATTCGCTGCAATATAACGCCCTTCTCCCCAGACTCATGAGAAACAACCAAATCAGTTCCCCTCAAGCTCTTCCAATTCGCCTTATCCAAAGCAGATTTCACCTCCACGCTTCCGCTAACGAACACCAATTTTCCACAGTCAAAATTCAAACTAGAAGCATCTCCGTCGTCGCGGCGAGAACTACTAGGTCTAGAATCATCGGAGTCGGAAAGGATGGACCGGAGGTCGGAGGGCTGAACGGACGCGGACTGGCTGATTTTGCGGAGGGCGGATGACGTGGCGGCGTACTTCCGGAAGCAGCTGAACGCCACGTAGGCAACGCCGACGCCGATAAACGCGCCGTCCGCCGCCATTGCCAGCTGCGTCAGAACCGCCGTCAGAGCGCGATCGTGTAACGACATCTCCTCGGCAACTGCTTTCCTACCACCAGATTTTCGCTGATTACACCGTCTGTGTGTGTGTGTGTGTGTGTGTGTGTGTGTGTGTGAATTTCTGGGTTTGACACCTTCTCTTTCCCCGCGTGCAAGTAAAATTTGTACTACTTGACTTGATATATGAATAGTGACCTTAAACCCGGGTTTCAATGGGTCAAGTTATTACAAACGGGCTAAAAACCCAGTTGTTAGTGGGTCAATTTAGCACAAATGGGCTAATTCAAATTTGTAACTAAATAGTTTATACAAATTGATAGTCAACTTGATTGACATATAAATCTCATTTACAAAAAGAAGGATAAATTACAGGAAACACCTCATGTTTGGGTAATTACAATATTCCCTCAACTATGAATCTTTTTACACGTTCATCCTTGCGATGTAAAATTTAGTGGAATCTTCTAATAATGTGGAATATTTTCCAATTTGTACCCGTTTGACCTTATTCGAGCTCCGTATTTTAAATCAAGATGATCATAAGATTTTACTTGTAAATATCATATTTAGAAACTTCATTTTTGCACAAAATGAGTACAAACTAGAGATCATTCTACAGAATGTAAAAAATTATATTGAATTTGACACCATAAGGATGATATGAGTAAGAAAATTTATAATTGAGGGATGGTTGTAATTATCCAAACATAAGGGAGGTTTTCGTAATTTGAACTTACTTCAGGAGGTGACCGTAATTTACCCTAGATATAGACTACATAGTTTACACAAATTGAACACTAATCTGCATAAATTACTAAATACAATACAACACCATTTTAGACAACATCAAAAGCTTCAAACTTATAAAGTGAATGATCTAAACTTCACAAGGCAAGATAAATCCTTTTATCAAAGCATTCAACGACTCCGGAGAATCGATATTTGCTGCATGCCCCGAGTCCTCTATTACTTCCAACCTACACCTCGGCCCCAAATCTCTACAACCGTAAAAACCGTTAAACTTGTATTGCTATAATCAATTAGGTCGGAAAAAAAAATAGGGTTTTGAAGTACCTCTGCAAATGATGGGCAAAGCTTAGAGGGAAGATCTTATCCTTGTCACCCCAAATAAGCAATATTTCCTTCACGAATCAATCGTCATAGCATTCATCTCGTTAAAATATAATTATTTCAATATTATGTGTTAATTATAAGAGATCGAAAAGTGAATTCACCTGAGACAAAGATTGAATATTGCGTTCCGTTTTATTTGTCAGCAGATGTTCCAACATTTCTTGCTTCTCTTTCCTGTTAGTGTTGCACATTTTCTTCCAACGGAATGTGTTAATTAGTAGTGAGATACGTAAATTTCATCGGTATGTAAGTACTTTTTTCATGCAATAGAATCGAAAAGAAAAGAAAACCATCGAGCATCATTTAAAGAAAGATTAATCGATGCTTCTCAGTTAATGTATAGCTTAAAGAACGAAATGTTCGTAAATATTTTAACTTCCCCATCAAATGTTATTCAATACAATTCTGACAAAAAAATCAATTTTTTAGGAACTCAAAAACTAATTCCAATTGCATTCCAAAAAAATCAGAAGAAATCATAATTTCGGAATCGGAATGAGAAAACTTAACAAAATCGAAGTCTACGGAATTCGAAAAATTCCAAATTTCAGTAACCTTGCAATGTGAAATACATAATAATTTTGATGTTATAAATGTTTTTTCGGGATAAAAATCAGAATATTCTGAAAAAAAAAATCAAAAATTAAAATCGGAATCTCTTAAATATTCCAACTCCGATCCAAAAAGTTCGAAAATTCGGAAATGAATTTTGGAATTCATAATAAAAAATAAAAAAAAATTGTTCCAAAATCGGAAAATTCCCGATCGAAATCAAACATAGGCAGCTCACACGACAGGTTCACGTGTAACAAACAACAAAAACGATTTAATTAATAACAATAACAATAAGACAAAATTTAAATAAAATGCATAAAAAAAACAGTGAAACAGCTCACTCTCAGTATACTGACATCGGAAAGGAACAAACTCAACCGGCAAACCTGATTAAATTAATGAATCAAACACATGAGTTGACTCACATGAATGAACTCGTGGAGTGTGAAATCCGGGGCCCACTTGAGAGAACCGCACTTGTGAACCGATAGCTGCACCAGCCGCCGTAGACCGGCCGGCTTCTCCGGCAGGAGCAAATCCGCTACACCAACCCCCACGCTTTTAAGCTGCTCCCACTTCTGATCGTCCGTACACCCAACACCACTGCTCACGATAACCACCTTCTCCACCATCTCCGGGTAAATCTCGGCCATCCGGTAACCCACGAAACCACCGTAACTGATTGCGTACACCGAGCACCTCTCCACGCCCAGCCGGTTCAAACCGGCGGCGACGCACTCCGCCTGGAAAGTTTCCGTCCGGTTCGACCGGTTCGTGTGGGATTTGCCGAAGAAGAGGAGATCTGGTATGTAGAGATTGAAGGAATCAGCTAATCCCCCAACCTAGAAGATTCATTTACCAAATTTTCAAATCCCTAATATTTTTGAAATTGAAAAAAAAAATTATAAAATTATTTGAATTTTGAAAGCGACCTGGTAAACGAATTGCCATTTGGAGTTTCCGCCATAGCCATGGAGCATTATCAAGTTCGGCTTGCTGAATTTGCGGTGGGAGGGGCACCAGAAATGCATGGTGGTCTGATCGTCTAAATCGACGGTGCTTTGGACCAGGTTGCAATTGAATGTGAAGTAGAAGGAGAGGAATTTATCGACGACGGGGACGAAGATTGGGAAGCGGCGACGGAGTTTGGGGAATTGGGGGAAGAGGTACTGTGAAACGACGCCGTAGAGGGAGAAGTAGACGGAGAGGAGGTGCCGGAGAAATAGGCGGAGGGTTTCCATTGAAGGCTCAGTTCCCAACTTCCCAAGCTCTGAAACAATTCAAAATTACTTCTTTCCTTCGAATTTTTGGGACGAAACGTGGGACATATAACTAATTATTTAGAAATTTACATTTTCACCACTCAAGTTTACAATAATATCATATTTGGTCACACATGTTCATAACAAACACATCTGGTCCCTCATGTTTCAATACTTTGATATTTTTGGTCATTTCCGTCAATTTATTGTTAGTCCGTCAATTACATTAGTGATCGGCACACTTTTGATTTTCGTTAGTTTTAACGAAAATTGACATAAAAGACTAAAAGTGTTGAATTTTTGAAATATGATGACTGATGAGGAATCAAATGTATTTTTGTGAACGTGGGTGACCAAATGTGGAATTGGTACAAACTTGAGGGATGAAAATTTTATTTTTCCCATTAATTATTTGTAATAAAAGAATATGCAAAACTAGGGACAATTACAATTTTTACCCCTCAAGTTTGTACTAATTTCACTTTTCGTCCTTTATGTTCACAAAAAATACATTTAATCCCTCATGTTTAAATAATTTAACATTTTTTTTTAATCATCTCTACTAGTAAAGAGTTCATAGCCTTGCTTAATCGTAACATTGTCGATAGTTTGGTTATTCGTTTTTCTAATGTACGTAAGAGTAAAGAGATGACTATTCCACAATCATCGATAAATATGTTACTGAAAATTTTATAATAATGATAATAAAAATTTTAAAAAATATTAATGCAAGTTGTGTATGAGGGTCATGTTCAATTTCAATTTCTGATTTTTTTTCTTCTATTTTTTCAATATTTTTGGAACGGGAATTAATTCATTTAATTGTTTACCTCCGAAAATTTTAATTTTTCTAGTGCCCACCCTATTTTTTTTAAAATGAATTACTATGTAATATAATTTATTTATTTATTTATATATAAATCATAATTCAAAAACGTGCAATTTTACTGGTCTACCATCATTAAGGAGAAATATATAAAATGGATGTGTACGTAGTTAAGTGTATATTAATATTATTAATTTTCTAATCCAAGAATGGATAACCTTTCCACTAATGCTTCTTAATTTTTACCTGAAACTAATAAAATTAATATGGTAGCAAGTAATTATATAAAAGTTTGTAATATATACATATATAGTCAAATCACAAGTAATTAGATTTCTAACAATCAAATATTTCTCTCCAAAATATGAAACCAAATCTAAAATGAATTCAAACTCAATTAAAAACTAACCATTTTAGCCGTGCTTGTTACTTATATTTGCAACGCGTAAATATTTAATGCCACCCGTCGTATAATTAGTTTCGTTGACAATTGAACGAAATAAAATTTCGTATTCACATTTCTTTTTTTGTTTTTGTTTTAATTGTTATAATTTTATTTTCGTAATAAAGAATGAGGTTACGCTTGAATTACAACAATCTCGACATAATTTCTCTATATTACAGTAATTTTATTTTCGACCTCGGTATAAGTTATCCATCATAAATCCATGGCGACTTTTTTCGACTTTTGCACCATTAATAATAAAGAGATAAAGAAACAATTTATTTCTTGGATTTTTAGTTTTTATTTTTATTTTTTTTATACAAGGTAAGTTGAAAAAAAAAATTGTGCCTTATATATTTTAAAAGGCAAGTAAAATGATAATACACTCCAAAAAAAGCTAATTTAGAAATAAAAGCTAATAGTATATTGGTGAAGACAATTTTAAAATTGTTTTTCTTTTTTACCTCGCAATAAATCTAAAACTAGGGTTTGACTTTTATTACAAACACAATTAATTCCATGCTGACGTCATAACTACCTCACATCTGCCCATAATCATTTTTTGCATGATAATTACGAAAAAAGTATTCAAGAACATCCTAAATGTCATGTAAAAACCTAGAGTCTGAAATAATTAGTCAAAATAATATTTAATCATTTTAAAATGTAAAGTAAATTAAAAATAAAAATAAATAAATAATAAAAATAATAATTATTTTGATAGTCCCTCAAATTCCCTCTATATATACATGGTACCACCTTCTTATTTTTGCACACCACACATTGAACTCTTTCAGACAATTAAATATTTCTCTAGTATCCATTCTTGAATTTCTCCATAACTGGTTTGTCCAAACCCTATTCTTTGTTACATACATTTCATCTTAATCTATTTTATTTTTAATAATCTTGCTATAATCAACTAATTAATGTATAATTAAGAATTAATTACAAGAACATTTCTTGCAGTACTCATGGATACAATGTGGGATTTAGGGAATCTTTGGGCTGAAGTTAGCAAGAACACATCAATGGCTGCTGGTTCTTCATCTTCAATGGTGGCTTCTCCTTCGTCGTATCTATCGGTTATGAATGAGATTCATGTTTTGCTAGTTGACCATGACTCGGATGGGCTTACTCACACCGCAAAATTACTCGAATCGTGTCAATACCGAGGTAGAATATATATAAAACCTTGACTATAACTTACCTTAGTTAATTTGTTTTTAATTTTGACTCATCAAGAACTAGATTCAACATTCTTAAAATCAAATCTAAAATCTACATTGTTTAATTTTTCCATTGTTTTATTCATTAAAAAAAAATTGAATTTTTTTGTGTTATGCGATTATCTTGTTGTCTGTCTTTGGATATATTTAAATACATTTCGCGCGCAAATTCATATTTTCTTCCCTCGATTATCTTTTATAGTTCACCGTTGTAAAAATATCTAAAAGACGACAAAGCGGATATTAATAACCAAAGTGTAATTGCTTTTGTTATCCGTACGATATTAAATACGAGAAGCTATTAAAAGATCGTATCTAAAGCATGTCCGTATTTTTTACTAATAAATTAATTAAATAGACTTTTTTTTTTTGCTTTTAATTTATGAATAATAAATAACTTGTTTGCTTTTTGAAATAAAATTGACCATTCTTTTTCGTACTTTATGAAAAATGTGGATTAATTTTGCAATGTACATGTATAGATTTAATTTATATACATATATGTGTATATATATTTTTGTTTGTGTAATGTGTATTCTTGTCTTCTTCTTTCCTTTTTTTTTTTCCTATTTATCATTTTATATCAATTTTTTTTATCTCTTGTAATTACAGTAACTCATGTCGAATATGCTTCGTCCGCCATAACAATGCTGACAAACGGGAAGGTGAAATACGACATTGTCATGGCTAACGTGAACTCGCCCGATCTCCATGGATTCAAGCTTGTGCAGGATGCAGCCAAGATGAACATACCGGTCATTTGTAAGATAATTACATAATTAATATTTTTATTTGTTATATATATATATATATATATATATATATATATATATATATATATATATAT